GATTCTGTCCCGGTTGCCCTTCTTCCGGGCCAGCTCTCTGCTATGGCCCGGGAGTGCAGTGGAGGATGGCCCAAGTGCTTGGGTCCTGCACTCCATGGGAGATCAGGAGAAGCACCTGGCTCCTGCCTTCAGATCAGCACGGTGTGCTGGCTGCAACGCACTGGCCGTGGCGGCCATTGGAGGGTGAACCAACGGCAAAAGGAAGACCTTTCTCTCTGTCTCTCTCTCTCTCTCACTGTCCACTCTGCCTGTCAAGAAAAAAAAAAAAGAGAGAGAGAGAGAGTTGCTCAGAAACCTGCTGTCAACTTGAGGTGTGGGCGAGGACCAGGGAGTAGGGACAGGCGCTGAGCACCAGGCCAAGCCCTTCCTGCACCACAGCCTGGCCCCAGCTGCCACTGCCTTCCTTGGGCGCCGCCTTCCTGTGGCTCGCCTCCCCGCAGCCTCCCTGCATTCCTTGTCTCAAGCCAAGTGACCAACCCTACCCAGTCTGCCCAGAACTGAGAGGGCTCCCGCCAGGCAGGAACCCCCATTGTAAAACCAGGACAGTCGCAGGTAAACCTGGATAGTGACACCTGACTCTTGTGGACTGCATCTCCAAGACTGGCTGCCTGTTTTCAAGGGCTGATGGGTTTCAAAGTTTCTGTGGCACCCTTTGGGTCATCCTAAGCGTCCGAATTCCAGACAGATGAGGGCGGAGCAAATGAAGGCACAGAGTCTGTGCCCGTGGCACCACGACGTCCCTGTGCACCTGCCTCCAGCCCACGTCCCCAACGCAGACCTCCATCCATGCTTCCTGCAGCCACGTGACGGCCCCTACCCTGCACAGCCCTTGAGCTGTCCCATCTCCCGGAACGCTCGTCTTCCTGGCCATCAATTAAGTTGGAATGGCTGAGGCTGAGGTTGTGGCCGCAGGGGTTGGTTACCGTCCAACAGGCAACCTCACAAACAGAGCTTGGTTTTGTTCAGATATTGGGTCATTGACTTGTCAGGCCCAGGCGCTGGGGTGTGGGGCTGTTTTTCCGTTTTGCTCATAATCAGTTTGGGGTGGGCAAGTGACCCAGGTCTGGCCAAAGAAATGTCACAGGAGAGTCACCAGGGAATTCTGAAAAAAGAATTTCTCCTTTGATTTAAAAAAAAAAAAAAGGAAGCTTGCAAAGAAAAGTCTGACACTTCTTTCCTGTTTTGCAAGTGGTTGAGCAATGACACAATTTTGGAGTTCCTGAAGCCATCACGTGACCATGGGATTGGGAGCAAGGGGAGAGGAAAGAGACAGACAAAAGCCAACCCTGTGGCAGAGAAGCCCACCAGAGGACACTGTCGGGGTCTCCAGGTAGATCACCTGCCCGCACCTGGACAGGTGTGCACCTGTGCCCTCCAGAAAACTCTGGCTCTTCCTGCAGACTTCCTCATCGTCATCCCCACGAGGGACTCACCTGGGGACCAACCTCCAGGGACCTCCCAGCAAAGGGAGCCCAGACCATCGCGCCAAGTCCCTTGTTTGGTACGGGGTGGTGATCAAGATTCAGAGCTCTGCAGTGTTGCTGTCTACTCCTAGGCAAACTGCTTAGCCTCTCTGCCCCAGCTTCTCCCTCTGTCCTGGGGACAACAGCGCCTAGCTCGCATAGTTACATGTCAAGTGCATCTGACATTGTGTTGTGGGGCCCCAAGGCCACCCTCAGGTTCAGGGATGCCCTCAAACTCACAGCTGTTATTACACTCATGGTTACACAGTTGATTCCAGCTGAAAGATAAAAATCTGAGGGGCCTGCACTGTGGCAAAGCAGATGCCTGAAATGCCAGTATCCCATATGGGTGCCAGTTCCAGTCCTGGCTGCTCCACTTCCAATCCATGCGCCTGGGAAAGTAGCAGAGGATGGCCCAAGTCCTTGGGCTCCTGCACTCATATGGGAGACCTGGAAGAAGCTCCTGGCTTCTGGCTTCAGATTGACCCAGCCCTGGCCATTGCAGCCATTTGGGGAGTGAACCAGCAGATGGAAGATTCTCTCTCTCTCTCTCTCTCTCTCTCTCTCTCTCTCTCCCTCTCTCTGTTTGTAACCCTACCTTTCAAATAAATAAATATGTTTTAAATAAAGATTGAGATCAACGCAAGTGAAAAGTGCATCGGGCAGAGTGCAGGAGGGGCCAGGAACACGTGTCTCAGGGCAGCTGTGGGGAAAATGCTTAACAATCCCAGCCACGAAGTGCGACAACAGACACAGGCTTGGCAGGCAGGAAGCGCGTCTGAGCCTTGGGGGCGGGCTTTTGTCCGTGGAGTACCCACGTGGCTGACCTTGGTTCTTCAGTCTCTAGCTCCCCCAGAGGTCAACCTGATACAGCTGGACCCAGGGCCCTCCCATAAATCACATCCTTAGCATTAACTCTGCTGCGGCTCCCTGTCCTGGAGAACAAAGACTCGTTTATCAGTGGCACACGCGGGCGTCTGGAGGTTGTCTCCCAGGAGCTGGTCAAGGGCCAGATCCTCCTCTGAAATGCTCCAGGTCTCCCAGGATGCTCCCACCCCAGACCTGCTGGGTCGGACACGGCCTGGAGTGCACACCTGTGTTATTTGTGTTTCTTTCTTTTTTTAAAAGTTCATTTACTTATTTGAAAGTCAGAGTTACACAGAAAGAGAAGGAGAGGTAGAGAGAGAGAGAAGTCTTCCATCTGTTGGTTCACTCCCCAATTGACTGCAACGGCTGAAGCTATGCCTATCTAAAGCCAGGAGCCAGGAGCTTCTTCCGGGTCTTCCACATGGGTGCAAGGGCCCAAGACCTTGGGCCATTTTCTACTGCTTTCCTAGGCCATAGCAGAGAGCTGGGTCGGAAGTGGAGCAGCCAGGACTCGAACCGGCGCACATAAGGGAGGCCAGCACTGCAGGCCAGGGCGCTAACCCGCTGCGCCACAGCAGCCGCCCCCTTGTGTTTCTGAAGAAGGGCTGCAGTCCGTCTTCGCCACCTGGACCACCCTGTGGAATGAGGTGGCTTCAGACTGAGTCTTCCCCTCATTCCCTTGCTTCCCATGCCCCTCACATGGAGGAGACTCCTCCAGGCCAGGAGGGCTCCTGAGCTCTCCTTCTCTTCCCTGACGCTGCCCAGGAAGGAGGAGCGAGTTTCTGATTTGGGGGCCTTGGGAGAAAGGTCCCTTCTTACACAGCACACTCTACAGATGGGTCCCCCAGGGACCTGCGGCTGCCCACCACTGCTAGCGGTGTGCCTGGAAACCAGGCTGAGGGCTGAGGTCGGAGCAGGCCCCTAAACCACCTGCTCAAGCAGGGTTGCCCCCAAGGAAGGCCACGCTTTGCATAGCCCGGCCCCCAAGGAAGGCCATGATTTGCATTTGCCCGGCTCCCTGTGTGTCCCGCCTCTGGCCCTGGCGCAGGCGCGGAGAATATTCATTAGCTCTGTCCAGCTCCAAAGCACACTCTGTGCTCCCCACGTTTGCCAGAGCGTGACTGGGTCTCCCGCCAGGGTCCCCGGGTCCTTCAGCTCTGCCCCCTCCTCAGGATTCCCTGGCTCCTGTCCATCCTCTGGACACACGCCAGGCTTCCTAGGACCCGGTCAAGACATTGGACCAGGACTAAACACAGAAGGCTCCAGGGGTGACCAGACTGTCACCCATTATGAACCTCCACTCAGAATCCCCCTGGGCCATCGCACGGCATGCGGGAGCTGTTGTTCACGCCAGTGCTTCTCCATAGAAACCAGCACAGAACCAGTTTGCTCCGCAAAGGGCAAAGGGGTGTTTCAAAACCTCTACTTCGTAGCTGAGTTTCACGCACAGGCATCCCGTCCCCAGCAAGGGCCAGGGGTGCAGCACTCACCCTCCCCAAACGAGTTCTCCCCAATTCCTGGGCTCTGTTTTATCCACTCAAGAAGCGTTTATCAGATTCCCCAAGGCTTCCCAAAATACCAGTGAGAGGTAAAGGGCGCAGACATTCCTAGGTCCAAATTTCAACTGGACCAGCTGTGTGACCTTGCGCAAGTTCCTCAGCTTCTCTGAGCTGCGGTTTCCTCCGCCCGCATCTTAAAGCCGAGTTCCTACTAGTATCTACCTTCCAAGGGCCCCGGGGTGGCGCCTGGGACACATCGCATTCTTGCTAACTTAGAGCAGCACTATTGCCGTTGCTAGCATTACCGTGAAACTGCCTAAAGTTAGAGGAGGCGCCCCTGTGGGAGAGGTGATTGACGGGTGGCTGAATGCAAATGAACTGTAAGTCAAGTCCTTTTGAAAAGGTCCACTGGGGGTTCCGGAAGTTGGCGTTGGATTTGGAGAGAGTCTGGAAGACAGAGGAGGGAGCATGCGGCCACAGTGGCGGATCAGAGGGCATGAAACGGGGCAGGGGACACAGGGACCAACACTGCCCAGGCCCGCAGGCACCTCGCTTCTGGGCAGCATTTTGCAGGACCAGAGAAAGAACACCGGGATCAATGAGACGCATGGCTAATTGAAAATAAAAGGCGCATTGACAACGATGGGGCCCCCAAGGCATCGGGGTGACAACTGCAGTCCCGCAGAAGAGTGGGCTCATGCCCGGAGGGGAAGGTATTAGTGCCCGGCGTGGTGTCCTGGACTTGAACCATGGTCCTGCCACTTCCTAGAGCGGAGACCCTGTGGTCAGCTTCCTGCTTTGTACTGGGGAGAAAACATTCCCCTGCAAGGTGCCTGTGGAGGTGAGGGGGAGGGGATGTTTGTGGCCTGGATCAAACCCGGAGCTCGGTGGCCCTACGTCCCTGGCCCGTCTTGGTTGGTGTCGCATCAGCACACCCCCAAAGCTCAGTTCCACCTTGAGAGTCCTGCTGAGCCACGCCACTGTGATTGGGAGGAAGCAGAGGTGGGCACGCAGCAAGGAGAGGTGAGCGGTGACCTCGCAGGGCAAAGGCAGACGGGAAAGCCAGGCCCGGGAGGCTGAGCCTTGCAGACGTGGGCACACGAGGCAACCCAACGCAGTGGACCTCGCAGTAAGTCACGAGCGCCTTGCGTCATTGACAGAAAGGTAGATCTGTTGAACACAATCAATTTAAGAATATTTTTAAAATGCTGTACATGTTACTCCTACAAACAGGAAACCGTTCAGGGTGCAAGTTACGGATGTCTGGCCCAGGATGGGGTGCCTCCCTCCTAGAGGAGGCTGGGTAAATGCAAGCTCACCAACAAAACCACAGTGGGGTCTCTTCGCTTCTCAGCAACGTGTTGTCGTGGTAGAAGGAAAGCAGTGGAGAATGGGGAGAGGGAAGCAAGTGGGACTTAGGGCTCGTCCTTCCACTCAAAACCAACCCACCCGGCTCGCGGCTGGTGCAGTGCAGGCAGCTCAGTCGGCCTGGCCCTTCCTGGCGGCGCCCGGCCCGGGGCGACTCCTGGCCAGCAGCAGGTGCTCCAGCCGCTGGCAGTGCTCCCGGAGCTGCTTCTCGCGCGGCAGCAGGAAGGTGAGGACCTTGTTGCGCACAACCCCGCGGTCCTCCTCCTCCCTTAGCCGCCGCTTCACCCGGGCGGCCTGCTCCTCCTGCTGCGCCAGGGCACCGTTCATCCTGCCGAAGGCGTCTTCCAGGAAATGGATGGCCTTCAGCGCCTCCTTCTTGAAGTCCGCCAGCTCCCGTTGCACCCCAGCCACCTTCTGCTGCAGGGTCTCCAAGCTGGCTGGCGGGGGGAGGCAGGAAGGCCAGGACTGGGACAGGGAGAAGTCTCCAGACTGGAGGCCCGTCTCCACCATCTTCTTCCCTTGTAAGGTGTTCACCTTCATGAGAATGGATGCTGCCTGGTAGGGGGGCTCCATGGGTCTCGTCCCGCTTGGACAGAGAGGGAGCCAGGAGCTCAGCAGACCAGAGAGATTTTTGGGCTAGAGACGCAGTCTTTTGCAGTGGAGAGATCCCATGCCTTGTGACCTCAGAACGCCTTCAGCCAATCAGGAAGAGAACTACACTCTGCTCATTTGCATGTTGTAGCCTCCTTGGTTGGTTGCCTAGAGCTTTGCTCATCTACCCCAGTCGCCTTCTGAGACGTGGATTCTCATCCATTCATCGCCCTTCTAGAACCAGAGCTCAAGTTCTGTTTTAGCCCAAGGGACAACTCAAGTTCCAGGGCAGGGAAGCACACCAGCCAGCACAAGGCAGGCCAGGCCCACTGGCCTCCAAGACTTGTTGGTCTCCCACACTAGCAAGGGGCCTGGATGGCCTTGGGACGGCGCTGGGTTTAAGTTTCTTACCAGTAAAGAAAGCAAGGACATTGCTAGAGATGACATCAGGTCCCTCTTCTAGCTCCAAAATTCTAAAAGACTAATTTCCTACAATGATGCCAGAATCCTAGACAATCCTAGGAATTTTGATAGAAGGACTTACATTTTGACGTGTGGTCCACAGCGGTGGCTGATTTTAGCCGGCATAGGGGCTTCCAGTGGATACTTGCTGAGGGCTCCCTGTGTACGCGAAGCAGGGATCACGTGTGAGCAAGGCAGTGCGCCCCCGCTTCAGTTCATGTTTCTGTTGCTGTAACAGCATCCCCGAGACTGAATAGTTAATAAAGAAACAAGGTTGGCTGTGGCTCACGGTTCTGGAGTTGGGAAGTCCAAGGTAGGGCGGCCCCAGCTGCTCAGCTTCAGGTGAGGGCCTGGGGTAGAAAGGGCAAGAGGACAGGTGCAAAAAAGAGAGCAGGCCCCATTCCCATGGTAGATAACCCGTCCCCACGGGAAAGGCATTATCTGTCACGAGGGCTGTGTCCGCAAGACAGACACCTCCCCGCATCGCTGCTTTAAGGAATTAAGACGTGACAACGACAAACCACAGCAGGCCCCCAACATCTGTGACTTGTGATGAACAGGAGGAAGAACACACAGAAAGATACATCTTGCACTTTCTGCCTGAGTGTTGTGACAAAGCAAAGTGTCTAGTCACTTCACATCTGGTTTCGTCAGGAGCAACGTTCCGCCTTGCAGAACTCAATCTCCGGGCTGGCCCTCTCTTCTGGGCTCCAGATCTAAACGTCTCCCCGACAGTGAGCGACAGACTCGGCCCGCCCAAGGTTGAATGGGTCGTCTCTTCACCCAAATTCTTCCAATCTGGCTGTTCGGATTAGTGCCGCCAACCACAGCCGCAGCCACACAAGAAACCTGGTGCCAGGGCTTGAATGGTTGAGCCCTCCAGACCCAGGTGGAAACAGAATTGCCATGAAGCAGTCAGGCGGGTGTGAGCGAGTGGATCAAGGCCGTTGTCGCAGCCCTGGGGTCCTGGTGAAGGGCGGAGCGCTCTCCCTTTGTCTCTCGCCCTCTTTGTGCTTCTGCTGAGTGCCGCCTTCCGCTGCAAGATGGCCCAGCAAGAAGGCCTTGTCAGACGCCAGCACCTTAATCTTGGACCTCCCAGCCTCTTGAACGGGAAGGAAATACATTTCTGTTCTTTATAAATCACCTAGATTGGGGCCAGCACCATGGCATAGTGAATTGGGCTGCTGCCTACAGCGCCAGCATCCCATATGGGCACCAGTTGAAGTCCCGGCTGCTCCAGTTCTGATCCAGCTCTCTGCTAATGCATGTAGGAACATAGCAGAGGATGACCCAGGTGCTCGGGCTCCTGCACCCACGTGGGAGACCTGGAGGACGCTCCAGGCTCCTAGCTTCAGATTGGCCCAGCTCCAGCCAGTGCAGCCATTTGAGGAGTGAACCAACAGATGGAAGATCTCTCTCTCTCTCTCTGCCTCTCCCTCTCTGTAATTCTGTCTTTCAAAGAAATAAATAAATTTAAAATTTTATTATAGTAGCAGAAAGTGAACTAAGCCACCAGCACTCAACCCAGATGGCTCCACGTCAGTGACTCCGAGTCTCGCAGAATCCACTGTCTGGACGCTGGAGCATCAGCTCCTCCCCTTGCACTCGAGGGCTCTGTCACAGCCGCCCCTACCTTCCTGCGTCTCAGCCTCCGTCTGCATCCGGGGGCACAATCCAGCCGTGGTGCTGTGTGGGAGAGGTAAAGCTCTGGGAGAGCTGCTGCTGACTTCGTGGCGTGAGCACTCCCACCGCAGCCAGTTTCAAGTCACCGACACGACGCCCCTGGGAAGGCCCGCACGAGCAGCCCTCCTGCCCTCATGCAGCCAATGTCCCGTGAGGGCCCCAGGCCAGGGAGGAGGGCGCTGCCCGCTCTGAGATGCAGACTGACCAGTGTAGAAGGCCTTGCAAGAAGGCTCGTGGATAAACGAAGGTGGCATTTTGAATCACAAGGTGGGAGAAGCAGCTCCAGCAACAGAGACAGAGTGTTTGCTGGAAAGAGCACTATTTTAGGAGTCGGGCAGTCGGGAGTCTGGAATTGCTGTGTGACCCCAGCTGAGCTGCCTCCCCTCTCTGGACCTCGTCCTTTGGTTGAAAGGTGAGAAGGTGACCTCCTGGCAGGTGTCTGAGAAGCACAGCATCCATGCAGTCCACTTGCTGCCTTCTCCCTCTGTTGCTTACGACCTGGGTATTCCAGGTTCCTGAGGCTCCAGTAAACTCCATGAGGGCAGGGACTGTGTGTTTCTCCCCCTGGGTACCCTCAGGTGTCCTGCCTGCTGCCCTGCGCACAATGGCTCTCAGGAACCTAGATAAAATCAAATTCATTTCCAGAGGTAGCTATTGTATCCCGGCCACCCCTGGTTTCCTGCTGACATGATGACACCTACTGGTCATAGGGGAAACCGCAACCTCCTGATTCCAGGCGGGGCTGGGGGAGAGGGTAATACCGTGTGGTGTGGGGTGCGTTAGGGGTACGTGGGCATGTGGGGCAGAGTAGGTTCTCAAAAAACATTTCTTGAACCAACAAAAGGAAGGATGTGTCTGTCCTGTAGTCTGTCATTTTCATTTTGAGTGTTTTTCTGTTTCTGTCTCTTTTTCTGATTTTCTGTCTCTGTCTCCCACAGGGAGTGGTGGAAGTCTGAACCAGCGCTGTAGAAGAAAAGCAGCAGATGCCAAACTGAAGGACAGGCACTGGGCCTGGCAATGAAGCTGCCCGTATCCCACACTGGAGTCCCTGGGTTTGATACCTGCCTCTGGCTTCTTCTTCTTTTTTCTTTCTTTCTTTCTTTCTTTCTTTCTTTCTTTCTTTCTTTCTTTCTTTCTTTCTTTCTTTCTTTCTTTCTTTCTTTCTTTCCTTCCTTCCTTCCTTCCTTCCTTCCTTCCTTCCTTCCTTCCTTCCTTCCTTTTCTTTTTTTTAAGTCAAAGTTAGAAAGAGAAGGAGACGCAGAGAGAGAGAGAGAGGTCTTCCATCTGCTGGTTCACTCCCCAGATGGCTGCAACAGCCAGAGCTGTGCCGATCCAAAGCCAGGAGCTTCTTCAGGGTCTCCCATGCAGGTGCAGGGGCCTAAGCAATTGAGACATCGTCTACTGCTTTCCCAGGCCATAGCAGAGAGTTGGATTGGAAGTGGAGCAGCCGGGACTCAAACTGGCTCCCGTATGGGATGCCGGCACTGCAGACGACGACTTTACCCACTAAGCCACAGGGCTGGCTGGGTTCTGACTCCAGCTTCCTGCCAATGCCGACCGTAGGAGGCAGCACTGGGGCTCAAGCAGTTGGGTTCCTGCCACCCTGTGGGAGACCCAGATTGTGACGCTGGCTCCTGGCTTTTGGCCCAGCCCTGCTGCAGCTGACAGAAGCGCGCTCTCCCTCTCCTCTCTCATTTGTTCTTTCTGTGTCTCTTAAATAATTTTTTTAAAAAGTCAGAATGCAAGTACCAATTTCTCGGTTTCCCTGCTGCTTGAATGGGGCTTCAGTTCCCTTCTCAGGGCCAGGGGGAGGGCAGGCCAGCAGTCCTCGCACCTGCAGCATCATCTCCGCGAGTCCAGATACCTGCGGTCAGCCAGGGTCTGAAAACATTAAATGGAGAATCCCAGGGTAGACAATTCCTCACTTTTACACCATGTGCCGTTGTGAGAAGCACGGCGAAGTCTCACACTGCCCTTGTCCCGGCCGGGGTGGGAACCTTCCCTTCTCCAACAGGTCCACAGCATGCGCACGCGCACTGCCTGCCTGCTCGTCACGTGACGGCCCTCTCGGTGATGAGATGGACCATCCCCGGCTTGTGTTCAAAGAGTCTTCCTTTCACGGGGTGATGCCTCCCCAGCCTGGCAGTTTAGATATGCCACAGAGCAGCTGTTAAGTGCTTCCTTTAAGTGAAAGACGTGAAAGTTCTTGACTTGAGAGAGAGAGTCGTATGCTGCAATTGCTAAGTCTACAGTAAGTTGCTGCTGTTAATCTCTTACTGTACCTAGTTGATAAATTTGATCACAGGCTTGTGTGAATGGGAAAAACGTAGTATATCCAGCGTTCAATACTCCCCACATTCCAGGCATCCTCTGGAAGTCTTGGAATGTGGCCCCATGCATGGCGTAGGGGCCACTGTGTCTCCCAGGAGCCACAGCACAGGCTGAGAGCAGGTGAACGCTGTCCCCAGAGGGCCCCAGGTCTGGATACCGCTGAGCCCTCGGGGCAGTGTCCTCATCAGGGCCCCGCAAGGCGCCTGTCCTGAACGAGCTCCCAGCCGTCTCACAGTTAGTCTCCTTCCGGGTATCCAGGGAAGAACGAAGGTCGATCTTCTTGCCCCCTTCAAGACAGCAAGAGAAATGGATTCTCCCCTCTCCCGGCAAGTGCTCTCAACTGCACGGTCGAGGCTTTCCCTGCGCCCGCTCCAGCGACTCCCAGCCTCTCCACATCTGGGGTGATGGGGGTGTGGGCAGGGGGCGTGTCAGCCCCAGGAGACCCAGGAGAGTGGTCCACCTGCATGGATGGGTGCTGTGAGTAGCGGGCGTGTTCTCGGAGTGCCCCCCCACCCCCACCCCACCCCTGCACCATCGCTGCTGGGTCCTGTGGCTGGAAACTGCCGGTTTTCCCCAGCCCTGACCCCGCCCCCGCCCTGCCCCCAACAGCTTTCAGCTCTGCACAGGAAATGAACCTTGGTCCTATTTAGGATCAGGACAGGGGCCACGGCAGGGGTGTGCTCCTTCGTGTCCCATTTTCAGGGGGAGGAGCCCCTCAGAAGCTAGGCTCTCTCCGCGTCCTATCAGTAGGAAGCCTCTCTGGGCCGTTTCCAGCGCAATCCCTGGCTGCCCGGGGCCACGGAGCTCCTGCAGCTGGCTCACAGCAGTCGTTCCCTTCCTGCGACTGCGCCTCGGGCCTCCCAGCACACAGCTCAATCTGGGTTCTACCTCGAGCAAGAAAGGGGAGGCTGCGCGCCCAGCTGTGTCCTCCACAAAGAGCTGCGACACTGCGAGAGAAGACCCAGTGAAAGGACCCTGCCCTCCCCAAATGGAACTGCCAGGGGCAGCTTTCAGTCTGTCGGGAAACAGGCTTCAAGTCCCTTAAAATGGGGCTATCTCGCTCAGTCCCCAGGGGAAAAAATTACAAACAAAAAAAAAATCAGAGTAAACTGTTAGAAACCCCAAAGACCATTTGACTGGACAGTTTTAAAGGAAATAAGACAGCTAATGGGGGCTGGCACTGTGGCATAGCAGGTGAGGCTGCCGCCTGCAGTGCCGACATTCCCATACATTCCCATATGGGTGCCAGTTCGAATCCTGGCTGCTCCACTTCTGATCCAGCTCTCTGCTATAGCCTGGGAAAGCAGAAGAAGATGGCCCAAGTCCTTGGGCCCCTACACCATGTGGGAGACCCAGAAGAAGCTCCTGGCTCCTGGCTTCGGATCAGCGCAGCTCCAGCTGTTGTGGCTAGTTGGAGAGTGAACCAGCGATGGAAGAACTCTCTCTCTCTCTCTCTCTGCCTCTCTTTCTCTCTGTGTGTAACGCTTTCAAATTAATCAATAAATCTTAAAAAAAAAAAAAAAAAGACAGCTGATGGCCCTACTCATTTTTTTCCCAGAAACCCCTGGCCATGGGCCTCCCATGGCAGCTTCCCTGGCCTAGATGAAGAGACTGCTATACCTCCAATGTCTTCCCTCATGTGTCCATAAAGGTCTTCTGTCCATCCATGAACGCATCAGCCCACCCACCCATCCACCTGTCCATCCATCCACCCATCAACCCATCCATCCATCCACCCATCCATCTACCCATCCATGCATCCATGCATCAACCCATCCATCCATACATACATCCACCTATCCACCCATCCATTTATCCATCCATCATCAGCCCATCCATCCATCTATCCATCCATCTGTCCACCCACCCATCCATCCACCCATCCATCATCTACCCATCCATCTGTTCATCCATGTATCCACCTACCCATCCATCCATCCATCCACCCATCCGTCTATCCATCTGTCCATTCATCCATCCATCCATCCACCCAGCCACCCATCCATCCATCATCAGCCCATCCATCTATCCATCCATGTATCCACCTACCCATCCATTTGTCCATCTATCCATCCATCCACTTGCTTATTCAATGACATGCACTGAGTACCTACCCTGTGTATGCTGAGTCAAGCCACAGGGATTCGAGAGAGTGAACAAGACAGAGAAGGTCCCGTCCCGGGCAGCTGGCATTTCCATGCAAGGAGACAGGTGGTAAAGTTAGCAATCAACACCACGGATGATTTGGGTGGTGCTAAATCCACAGGGCAACAAGCCGGGCCACACTACGAAAGCCTGCTGGGGTGGGGGCAATGCTCCAGTAGGAACAACAATGAGAAAGGCCTGGGGCAGGAATGGGCTGGGGGAACCTGGAGGGGCTGAAGGCGCTGGGGAGCTCTGGGCTGGGCCCTGCAGGCCCCAGCATGGGGGCAGGTGTTGATCTCCCCAAGTACCATGCAAGGACCATCCAGGGCTGCTCCAGCTGGCATTCTGTCTGGGGAATGGGGACAAGGCTGGGGAGGGGGTGGGGACCAGGATCAAGAACAAAACTTGGTGCTGTTCGCCGTGATTAATTAACCCAGCGCCAGAGCCCAAGGCTCAGTGCTAAAAATACCTGCTTCCCTCTGAGATGCGGCAGCTGCCACCCAGCCGCTTCTACCCGTACCATTTGTCACAGTTTGACACTGCTAAGGAGTGTCCACGGGGCTGTGTGTCTGTAAGAAGCGGGCTCGCCCACAGCCCACCAGCCAGCCGGTGCTCAGGCGCCATCCAGGGCACTTTCTACCTGACTCAACTCCCACGTCCGAGCCCTGCCTTCACCACCCAAGGTGCACCTGCCACCTGCCCCCTGCTGGCCTCCCGCCTGAGCCTCTCCTCCCGAACTCTCGCCCGGAGCGGGGAGCCAGTGCGTTCTCTGGGGCAGGAGTACATACTGGAGGCGGTGTCTCACAGCACAGCAACCCTGCCACTCAGACGGGAATCAACAACCAGAGGCCCTGCCAGCGCAGAGCAGAGCGGCACTTTAATTAAAATGTGCAAAGCATCCTGATGGGAGCGGATCTGGACAGGAGCAGCACAGGCCGGCCCGGCCCTGGAATTGGCCCTTCTCCAGCCAGGCGGGGCCGGGCCAGCCAGGAGGGCCCTCCCAAGCACACAGGGGAGTGGCAATGTCTGGGATGCACCATCACCCACTCCAGCGGGCACTGAACTTAGCCAGCAAGAGCGTTTGCGTGAAAGAGAGGCCAGAGCCAGGCATGGGCAGGCTGAGAGGGCTTGGTGATGCCAGTCGGATGAGTGGAATATTCTAGCCCCACTCGCAACACTAATTTTCTTAAAGGACCCACTGCGAAGCTGATCTGCAGACCTTCACGGAAACGCTTTAGCAAAGCCATCTGCATTTTCCAGACCTCCAAGCTCCCCGAGTTTGCTGTCTTTCTACGCCGAGAGGAAGAGCAGTGGAGACTGCGTCGAGCACAGGTGTGAGCAGTGTTTTACGCAAAGCTTGTGCAAGATCAGAACAAAAAAGATTGTTTCTGGGACAAGATTTTCAGTTTTGCTTTTTAAAATAGTTCTTTATACACTTATCTATTTTATTTGAAAGGCAAACACAGAGAGAGCGCTGCCATCCACTGGTTCACTCCCTAAAAGCCTGCAACAGCCAGGGTTGGGCCAGGTGGAAGCCAAGAGCAAGATAACGCAATTCAAGTCTCCCACCTGGGTGGCAGGAACCCAGCTCCTTGAGCCAGCACCCATTGCCTCCCAGGGTGCGCATTGGCAGGAAGCTGGACTGGAGGGCAGGGCTGGGGCTGGAACCCAGGCACTCCGATAGGGGGCGGGCAGGCTTCCACGTGACAGCTTATCCACTGCACCAAACACCTAGCCTAAGTTCCTAATCAGGAAATGCAATATTTGCTCACTGTTTCCAGCATCCTTTACGCACTTGCCCCCACCCTTGAAGAAATGTGTGGCCTGGACTGAAATGTCAGAATTTGTGCGGTACTGTGTACTGTGCGCTCACTCAGGCTCGGGCCCTGGGCACACTTGCTGCACAGCGACATAGCCTGTGGGAGTGTGGAGACCCTGAGCCCAAAGCAGAGAACAAGACAAGAGCGCCATCAGGAGTTCCTAGTTCTGGGGGAGTCGGGGGGTAGGGGTGCGTTCAGGTGGGAGCCTCTGGGGGAGAATTGAGCGGCAGGAGGGGTGGTGGGCACCGCGTGTTGTATAAACAACTGATTCTCCATTGCAGTCCCAGCCTCCCGAGGACAGCAGAGTGGAGAGGGACCCCACCACCACCTCTGGGCTCCCAAACCATCCGCACGCACAGAGACCAGTCGCTCCCGCCAGCCTGCACCCCGCCAGCCAGGGACAGAGCCCGGAGCTGCATGCTGGGTGTCAGGCTGAATTACGGGCGCTTAAAAACCAAATCTTCCCCTTCCTGGGTTTCTTAACTGTCTGCCTGGTGAGGCCCAGAGATTACTGGTGACAGACACCAGGGCCTGCCTGGCTGTTCCAGACAGATGAGCTTTGAGCACTTGGAAAACTCCAGACACCGGGAATCCTAATGATGAATAATGAGCTCAAACCGTCGGCAAGTTACCCCACACCCAGCGCTGGGGACACACACCGCTCCCCGGCAAGTGAGGAGCGCCTAGGCCCGGGAGAGCAGGGAACACTCATCTAGCATCTTGAGAAAGAGCTTGACCCTGACTCCTACGCCCACCCCAGCTCTGCCCTGAGTCCTGCTGGCTCACAAACGCGGCAGAGATGTTTCTAGGTGCTGGGCACTTAGCTGTCACAAGAGTTGAACTGGTCTGCCTCATGGTCAGACATTGTTTTCCTACCCAAGAGTAGAGTCTCCTCATTCAGTCACTCGCCGTCACACATTTAGTGAATGACTGAGTTATTCCAGCCATGGTGCTGGAGGCTCAGGATAGAAGACAGGGCCCCTGTCAGACATGGAGACATGGGATCAGACATGGAGACATGGGGTCAGACATGGAGACATGGGATCAGACATGGAGACATGGGGTCAGACATGGAGACGTGGGATCAGACATGGAGACATGCCATCTGACATGGAGACATGCCATACCATTGAACATGGAGACACGGGATCAGACATGGAGACAGGGGTCAGACATGGAGACACGGGTCAGACGGGGAGACAGGGGTCAGACATGGAGACACTGGATCAGACATGGAGCCATGCCATCACACATGGAGACATGCCATGCCATCAGACATGGAGACGTGGGATCAGACATGGAGCCATGCCATTGGACATGGAGACATGGGGTCAGACATGGAGACACAGGGTCAGACATGGAGACACGGGGTCAGACATGGAAACACAGGATCAGACACAGAGACACTGGATCAGACATGGAAACATGGGATCAGACATGGAGACAGTCTCGCAGGTCCAGCACCACACAGCTGGACTTGACCTATCCTGCCAGTAGCAGGGACACAGAGCAGGCTTGGGGTGGAACTCGAAAGGTCCACTGTGCCTGCGTGCGAGTCACCAGTCCTGAGTGATACTGTGCCATGGCTCCTGGGATGTCCAATTGCCTGACCCTGGGGCGCGACGGAACGTGAGTTCCACCTCGAGGCCTCCACCTTGAACCCCCCTTTTGGCTTCACAGGAGCGTGCACCCAGTGGAAACTTTGGCACGCATTGGCGTCATCCCTGCAGATGGTTACCACGTCACTGCTAAGGTCTGATCTCATCCAAGAGATTCTAACTCAGAAGTCCTGAGGGACTGGAGTTAGGGTGATCAAGCGGCTTTCATTCTTTTTAAAGGTTTATTTGTTTATTAATTTGAAAGTCAGAGTTATAAGGAAAGAGGAGGAGACAGAGAGAGAGAGAGGGAGAGAGACAGAGAGAGATCTTTCATCCACTGGTTAACTCTCCAAGTGGCCACAGCCTCCAGTCTATTTCTTGATTGAATGTCTTGCTTGCTCAGACTCTCATCCGGCATTCTGCTCATTGCATCCGAACACACCACAGGCCTAGAAATCAATGTCTATGTGTTAGTTTTTTAAAGATGTATTTATTTATTTATTTTTATTATTTATGTATTTATTTACGGGATGCTGGCACTGCAGGTGGCAGCTTTACCCGCTGTGCCACAGCACCGGCCCTGATTTCAATGTCTTTAACAAGATCACCCAGATCACTCCTGTGGTGGAACAAGAAGGCCATGCCAAGGTGGCCACTGGCAAGCGAGTGTCAGTTACTCAGGAATGGCTTTGAAACCCACCTGGCAACGGAGCCTGCCTGGCAACAGGCTGTGATTGGTTGGGGCATAGACCGCCCCTTGACCAGATTGGCTGGTCTTGGCTATATAAGATGTGGTTCCAACTGTAATAAACGAGTCTGCGGACGGCTCATCTCAAGCCTGCTTTCACCTGACTCCCGGGGTCTGTATGGTGACTCCGCCACTCTTGTCCCCACCACGCTGCTCCTCTCAGAAACCAATCCACTGCAACATTGTTGAGAAATCAACGTAACAACTCCACCGCCCATTCTGTAGCTAATCCAGTGGTTCTCAGACCATAGCCCTGGGGAACTTGTTGGAAACTCCCAGGTCCCACCCAGACCTCCTGGATCAGCCCCTCCCAGGAGGGGTTCAGCATCTGTGTCTCAACAAAGCCCTCGAGAAGATTCTGAGGATTCCCAAAGTTAAGAATCACTGCAGTAATCAATACCCCAGACCTCCAAACACTTCCAGGTGGGGCTTTGCTAATTGTTTGCTTGAGAGACTCAGAGTGCTCCTATGCACGGTTTGCTACCCAGGTACCCACAACGGCTAGGACTGGGGCAGGGCTGAAGCTGGGAGCCAGGAACTCAACCCAGGTTCCCCTGGCTGGGCTGCACTCCAGGTCTCGCTGCTGCCTCCTGGAGTGCGCATTAGCAGGAAGCTGGGGTCAGGGGGCGGAGAGAGGGACCAGAGCCAGGGATGGCACTCAGGCACTCTAATGTGAGCCCAGGGCATCTTAATCAGTAAACGGCCAGCCCCGGTGGGACTTTGAAGCCTGACCCGTGTGGCAGCAGCTTCCTTTTATGACCGGACAACGGAAGCAGCGTGCTTCTCACCTTCTGAGACTTGTCTCCTGCTCCTCCGCTCCCCTCCCCAGGTGTCTCACACTCGCTGAATGCCTGGGCCGGATTTCCCGAGCCTGGGCTGTGCTGTTCAACAGCCAGAAAGTGAAGGAGCAGGGTGGGGTGTGGAGAGAGTTCTTTGCAGTCAGGCTGGGCCAGAGCAGGAGGCAGACCTGGTCAACGCTGTCATCGGGGAGGAGGGAGCGTCCCAGTGCCCCTGGACCCCGGCTGAGCTGTGACGGCCTTCAGGGACTCCCCGTCCCCAGACACCTGCGTGGCCAGGCAGCCGCCCGGGAGGAAGAGGAGGAAGGTGTGTCCTGACTGCCTTTTTATTTCCTAGGAAGTCACATAATGAGTTCAATACAACGAGTTACTCCAAACCGCGGGAAGAGTCCAAAGGCGGACTTCCTACGACATGGGGTATCCACTCTCCGTTTGCTGGAGAAGACAAAATCGAGGCCCTAATGACGCCTCCTCCCTGCAGTGCTTTCTTCAACCATAATCTGTAGCATCTCACATGAGCTCCTGAATTTTGTTATTCTGCTTTCACAACTGAACACACTGTGAACTGATTATCCAGTGGGCATCACATTGTAAATAATGTATTAAACAATTAATAGGGGCAGGTGGTGTAGCACAGCAGGGAAGCCACCACTTGCACTGCTGACATCACATATTCGAGTGCCAGCTCCAGTTCTGACCATTCGCTTCTGATCCATCTTCCAGCTGCTGCACACCCAGGGAGGAGGCCAATGGCGGCTCAAGTGCTTGGGCCCCTGCCACCCACATGGGAGACCAGGATGGAGTCTCTTGGCTTTGGCCTGGCCCCACCCTGGCTGTTGGGAAGGGACCCAGTGGATGGAAAATCTTTGTCTTGGGGCCGAGTGGGTGAAGCCACTTCCTGCAGTGCCGGCATCCCATATGGGTGCCAGTTCAAGTCCCAACTGCTCCACTTCCTATCCAGCTCTCTGCTATGGCCTGGGAAAGGAGAAGATGGCCCAAGTCCTTGGGCCCCTGGACCCCCGTGGGAGACCGGAAAGAAGCTCCTGGCTCCTGGCTTCAGATCGGCACAGCTCTAGCCATTGCGGCCAACTGAGGAGTGGACCAGTGGATGAAAGACCTTTATCTCTCTCTCTCTCTGTCTCCCTCTTCCTCTCTCTTTCCATTACTCTGACTTTCAAGTAGATGAAAATAATTTTTAATTAACATTTAAAAAAAGTAATAATGCAGGTAAGCATTGTGGCACAGTGGGTTAAGCCACGACTTAGGACAGTCACAGCCCATAACAGGAGTGCCCGGGACTGTCTCGCCTCTTCTGAACCAGCTCCCTGCTAATGCACGTCCTGGGAGGTAGTGAATGATGGCCTAAGGAGCCACGCCTTGCCACCCACGTGGGAGACCCAGATGGAATTCCTGGTTCTTGACTTTGGCCAGGCCCTATCCTAACTGTTGAGGAATGAACCAGAGGATGGAAAAGTTTTCTCTCTCTCTCTCTATCATCTGCCTTTCAAAAATAAATAAATTTAGCAAATGAATAATAGTAATAACTGAACAGCCACAAGCCCAGGCACCTCCCAGGCCTCATCTCTGTCCCGGCTGAATCAGGCTTATGAACCTTGTGATAGCTTAAACCCTTGCACCACTTCTGTGTGGGGTCCAAGCCGGCAGCACTGCCACCTCCGCTGTGCTGGCCAGCAGGCTGCTGGGAGGCTGAGCAGGCTGTTCACCAGCTGAGATCTGAAACCAAATGCAGCCCGCAGGAGGCGTACCCTGGCTCTGAAATGTGTAGAGTGGGGGCTACGCCCAGGCCCTGCCTCTCCTCGCTCATCAGGTATCCGTGTGTCTCCAGCTCCTGCTGCCACTGGGCTTGGGTCAGGCTCCGTCCCCGAGGGCCGCCCCCAGGTGCCATCCCCAGTAGGGCAGATGCACGTCCAGCTGTCCAGCTCCGGTTGCTCTTTGTCATGGATCCTCCCTTGGTTGATGCTGAATGGGATGAACATTTTCTTGGCTGTCATCATTGGGTTGTTATTACAACTGAGGTCTGGGCACCAAATGGTCCCTCTCCGTGAGATGATCTCATGAGGTCGCTACTGAGGGTGTGCTGGTCGGGGAAGCAATAAGCCAGGAAGAAGCAAAAAGCAGAGAGGAACACGCCAGGCTACCTTAGCAGCCATCCTGTTAAGGGGACACATCCCAGACAGCAGCCCAGAGGGCTAAGCAGAGAAGACCCAAGCCAAGTTCAAGGCTGTGCTTGCAGCCAGGTCCCTGGAGCCAAGCAGTCTCTCTCCTCCACCTCCCGAATGTCACCCGGACCCGGGGTGGGTGGGGGTGGGGGTGGGGTGGCTCACCTCCGACAGCCCCTCTCCCTTCCAGAAACAGGAACGCTTTCCCACCACAAGGCGGGGAAACTCCAGCCCACCCTGATCTTGGGAACCTGAGGACAGGCCGGAAAGCCTCCTTCATCAGGTTCCAGGCTCCAAGACCACAGCCAGAGATGACAGGTCAGCCAAGGTCGGCGAAGCCTCCAGGGAGTGGCAGGGGAGGCACTTGGGAGCCACTGTGTTCTCAGGGCAGCTCCCAGGGAGTGGTACAAACCGAGAAATCCCACACAGCCCAGGGCCCCTCCCCCAGACACACGGCCACAGAGGAACAAAGTCCGGGGAATCAATCAGGCCCGGCTGGCCGCTCCCCTCGCCCGCGTCCCTGCCGGGGAGGTCAGGGTTCACATCAAGTGCCATTCATCATGCTCCTGGGGCCGGGGGCTTATTGGACAGTCCTATTAATCAGAGGCCTATCACAACCACAGCCTGGCTGGGCCGCCATTGTCCCGCTCCTCACCTATCATAGAGAGATTAGATTATCAGTGACAACTCAGACACCCTTTGAGTCACAGGAAAGCCGGGGAATGGGGTTGCCTTTATTTTTTTTTATTTATCCTCCTGATTTGAGGATGAGCTGTTTCTTGTCTTGTCACACTGCATCCTTTTCTTCCAAGAATCAGCTTTAAGAATCCAATTTGTCAAACTGGACAATCATTGGCAAATCCATAAAATAAAATTTAAAAAAAAGCCTTCAGCGACTTTATCAAAAACGGTCAAATAAAGCAGAGGGCTTTCAATGGGGCCTGAAAGGGTTAGGAAATAAGTTGCACTGGGCACCAATTAATCTCTGAAAAGCAGGGGGTTTGGGGAAAGGAGCCAGAGGGAGATGCGTCCAGAAAAGGATGCTGGGAACCCACGCAGGTGCGGCCTGTCCATCACCTGGGCCTCCATCCCTCTGCCAGACCTGACACCCAAAAGAATGAGATGGCGTCAAGCTTCCTCCTAACTTTCCACCAACCAGGGGCAGCAGCAGCAGCAAAACGAGACAACAGCCAAACCCCCAGCAGACCAGGGCAGAGCAGCGCAGAGAACTTGGTTCCCCACCTCTCCAAGTAACCAGCAGGTGCTGAGCCCTCCCCGGGTGAGCAGGAGGCACGTTTAGGCAGGATGGGACCAGGGCCTTGGTGACCCCAGGTCCAGGGCTGCTCGCCCCGATGCCTGGAGTCAGGGCAGCAGGCTGCAGGTCAGCCCGTGTGGCGAGGTGAGCACTCCAACGAGGCTGCATGGAGAGGGAAGTTCAAGTCCATCAAGTCTTCTAGGCTTCAGGAGATCCCAGAGACCTGGATTTCTATGTGAACCCTCCCAGTTGTAAGTATTGACAACGTCTTCAAATTGTTTTGTAACAAATTACCATGCACACCAAACAAAATCTATAGCAGGTCCAGTCTGGCCCCAGGCCTAGGGTTTGTGACCTAATCCACCTGCACATCAGGACGAAGGGACCCGGAGAAGCTGATAACCGCAGAGTTCACACACTGCCAGAGGGAGAGCCAGCCCGAGAGCGTGGGTCCGCTTCCAGCCCAGTG